CAGAATGACAGCAACAACAAAAACGTTGTACTTTGTGAGTATAGTAAATGCCGTATACTCCCCACAATTTCCGACTTTTCCCATCAAACATTGAAACAGTGCGTCCTCTCATCCATCCGCTTTACGGATTTTCGGCATCCATTTAATTTGCACTAGAGCCAATATTCATTGCTTAGTCAGGCGGCAAGCAATGTGTGTTAGTTTGGTTGCTCTTTCACTGCTCCGGGTACGATTTAAAGTCTAGCTTTTAAAGTTATTCAGTGCTTCATGTTTCTCTTTTTTGTTGCTGCTGTTACGGTTATGCTTTTTTATTTCTTTGCTCTAAATTTTTTTGTTACAACGTTTTTAGTACTGGCTTTTATTAATAACTTTTTCTCTTGATTATCAGTAATTTAAAATATATTTTGTTTTCACATTGATGCTAATGCAATTTTTTAAATAATTAATCAGAATAGCAGTTAAAGTAATTTAGTTTTAGTGTTCTTCGCTCTGACATTTTAGATTCTGCTAAATCATCTGCAAAATCTCATATCTAATCCGTCTAACTGCGTTCGGTGTAACGTATAAATGGTGAAAAAATAATTCGTATGAAAATGTTGGCTTTACTTCCTTCTTCACTCCCAAAAATCGGTCAAGAATTACATTATTATTACTTTTTCTCTAATATAAATCTGCAATAGTTATTTTAAGGTTTAAGGCCACCAAGTAATATGAGACTAAATTCAGACGGAGCTATATGGTATGAACTGATGTAAAACGTATGAAACTGCTTTCTCAAATGTATAACTAAACAGTAGGATCGCAGTGATATATAAACCGTCATGAATTGTTGTATTATAATTGGAGATCCTTTACGTTGCTGATGGAGAAGCACTCATAACCTTGTTTAGGGAATTTTATGTAGATGGAGTGATGTCATAAGTAAGACTGAATATAAAATAAAGTAGAGGCAACATTGAAGAGATATCTATGCTATATGTTACCCGGCAGTAGGCTGGATATGAAACAGCACATACCACAAACGAGCATACAAAGAAATAGACTTCTCGTAACAGAAATTCATCGAAGAGGATGATGGTGCCTCACAGTGCCATCGTCCCTCATCACACAAAAAATTAGAAAATATTTTTCGGTAATATAATAATTAAAAAATTTTGGATTTTTCGGAAATTTTCATTTTTTAATCCCGATGTTGGGGTTGAATAATAAATAAATTTGATTTTGATTGAGATTAAAAATTGATAATTGGAAATATTATTTTTTGATTAGAGTGAACGTGAAAAAATGCTAATTCTAAAATAAAATATTTTTTAATTATTTATTAAATGCTTAAGATTAAATTTTTTCTTTTTAATTTTTCAATCCGGTAGTTGGGATAAAAAACTAAATATAAATTTTGGATTAAATTTTTAATACGGTTTTTGGAAATAAATATTTTTTTATTTTTTAACCCGGTATGCGCGATTAAAATTTTTATACTCTCGCAACCTGTTGCTACAGAGTATAATAGTTTTGTTCACCTAACGGTTGTTTGTATCACCTAGAACTAATCGAGTTATATATAGGGTTATGTATATATAAATGATCAGGATGAAGAGACGAGTTGAAATCCGGGTGACTGTCTGTCCGTCTGTCCGTCCGTGCAAGCTGTAACTTGAGTAAAAATTGAGATATCTTTATGAAACTAGGTAGACATGTTTCTTGGTACCGTGAGACGGTTGGTATTGCAAGATACAAGACTGCTATTTAGTACACAGGATAACATTAAGGAGGGACATCTGCAGTTAAAATTTTGTTTCTTAAAGTGGGCGTGGTCCCGCCTCTAATAGGTTTAATGTGCATATTTCCTAAACCGCTAATGCTATAATAACAAACTTCACTGGAAGCAAATGTTTTTAGAACTTATACCTACAGTGTGAAAATAGTTGAAATTGGGTGGCAACTCCGCCCTCTCCCCATATAACGGTACTGTTAAAAACTACTAAAAGCGCAATAAATCAAGCACTAAACACGCCAGAGACATTAAATTTTATCTCTGGGATGAAATGAGATGACTTTATAGGAACCGCGTTCAAAATTAGACAGTGGGCGTGGCACAGCCCACTTTTAGGTGAAAACCCATATCTTGGGAACTGCTTAACCGATGTCAACCAAATTCGGTGCATAACGTTCTTTTAATATTTCTATGTTATATTGCGAAAATGGCTAAATCGGACTACAACCACGCCTATTTCCCATATAACACCATTTTCAACTCCATCTGATTCTTTCACTTTCCACTATGCATATCAAGCAACAATGATTATATCGGGGTAAAACTTTGCGTGAATAATACGTTTAATGTATGCCACCTTGTGACCAAAAATTGTCTAAATCGAACCAAAACTGTTCAAGCCCCTAAGTACTAAATATGTGGACCCCAGTGCCTATAGTTGACCATTTGACTTTGCGAGAGTATAAAATGTTCGGTTACATCCGAACTTAGCCCTTCCTTACTTGTTTTTTTTTTACTTTTTATTCCCGTATTTGGGATTACAAAATAAAAAAAACTTTAATTCAAATGCCAATTTATTTATTTTTTAATGCATTATTTGCAGCCCTGCTCAACCGTTAATGTATAAGCCTGGGTGGAGGATAATATAAAAGGCGGAAAATATTTGCGAAATTGTAGAATATAATTCAAGATTAGTTACCAGTTTCGTTCAAAGATGCTATAAATCATTATCCGCATTAGTATTGAGTTATTTAAAACTAAACACCTTTATTACGCCAATTCCCCACTTGCAAACATAAGCTGCTTGAATCAAGAAAAACAGGTAATAACTACATATATTTACAACTGTTAATTTACACACATACAAAACCACTTAAGGCGGTGCAAGCAGTCGCTCTAAGTATACATAAATGGTTAGACATTGCTATATGTATGTGTGTGTGGCACAACGGTTTTTCACAAAGAACTACACAATGACTTTATTTATTTACTAAATATTTTCCTCCAAAAAGTATATTTTTCTGTGTTCAAAAAACATTGCTATGGTAAGGGTGCTGTATAAAATTGCTATATACATATGTAGGTATGTGTATGAATTGCCTCGTCAGTATCACATATACATACATATACAATCGAGTCGCGACACAGACAATAAACAAAAGGCGGAATATGAAAAACCTATAATTGCATTTATTATCCTGATAAAAAGCGGTGCCGCATCGCACGATTCTGGCCACAGAGGAAAACACTGATATACAAACAAATGAAAGAACTTACAAACACACACACCACACACATGCATACATGCATAGCCATGCGCGCTTGTTTGAATGTAAAAGTCGACGTGGCATGGCGGCAGTGCGCTTTAAGTGCCGTTAGTGGAGGACGAGAAGGCTTGAAAGCGCGATAGTGTTGCCCAACATGAATTTTCCACCAGCAACGCTGTTGTAGGTGCGCCACACACACATAAATATGTATATGTTTACATATACACTCACACACACACATTCGTGGTTATTGCAGCGCGTTGTTGTTATGTTCGCATTGGCTGAGTGCAGTCATTATGTTTTTGCCAACTCTTGTTCTTGCGGCACTTCATTATGATTTTAGTGTATGTTTTGCCAGTGCAAACATATACAAATATACAAATATATGTATATGCATATAATATGTATATATGTATGTTAGACCGCCATTGCTTTTGCTACTTTTGCGCTTTGAATGTATAAATTGCTCTTTGTTACGATCCGGCCCGTTGTCGAAACAACAGGACAGGCAGTGGCGTTGCTAGACCGTCGTCGGCAGTTTGCTCTGATTTTTGTGTAATTTTTGTTGTTGTTCTTCCAATTGTTGCTTTTGTAGCTTGCAGTCTGCAGCACTACCAACATATGGTCTGCTACTGTATACATTTAATAATAATTGTTGGTGTATAAAATACAGCAAAGCTATGCGAAATTTAGTGCTTTTGTAAACAACAATAATAACAACAACGGCAACAACATAATCGTATACAAATAAACATGTTGATGGAAGTGCGCACAAAAAAATTAAATTATCCAACTTGGTGGCAGTTAATTGTGTTACATTGGAGTTGCCGTAGCGGCATAACGGTATTGCAACAGTTGCCATGTATTACAGCGGAATATTTCTGTGGCCAGCGGAATATTGTTGCATGCTCGCTATAGTAGATTTTGATTTGGTTGTGGCTTTTTAACAAGTTACTTAGTATTCAGCCACTAATATTAAACAATTACTTATGACTGATATTTCAAAGCAGATTTTTACAAAATCAGAGTAATGTATTTTAAATTTATACGGATTGAGTTGATTAGGGTTGAAAACGTGGTTTTTCACAATAAAACTGCTAAGGATTCAGAAATCAGTGAACAAGGCGTTTCCTTAGGACATACATTATAGAAGAAAATATATATTTTTTTGTGCCACTTGGAATGCTAGGCAGAACCATTTTCATGAAAATAGCTGTCACAATACATTAAAAGCAGTTTAGGTCGACCTTAGCTAGGATAGGTATTTTGATTTCTAGTAAAAATCTTTATCTTAAGTATAAAAATACAAATTTGAATCTCGAATATAATCCAATATTTATTTTTTCACTTCTTAAAGCTATTTAATACACGAGTTTTTGAAATGAAAAAATGTAACTGAGCTAGCTTCTTTTAGAAAATTGTATACTCCACAAGAACCGCGATTTAAAAAGTTTATCCTAAACTGTTATTTCCTAACTAAAACAGTTTTTTTCAAGTATACTTTTTTTCTGTATAATAGTTCAATTTAAACCATAAATTTTATATTATAATTTTTGTTTTTTTTTATTTTGCTTACCCTAATACATTTGTATAGTAGATGTTATACAATTTTATGAGGAAGTGAATTTTCCACTGCTCTATTAAATTCACACCAATTCATACAACTAAAAGTATTCGCCACACAAACACCTCCATGTGTTCAAAAGTTACCTGTAATATACACAGACGTATTTACTTACCTTAAAAACAGCCGAAGCAAAGAAGAACGGTAGTAAAATGAAGACAACGCCGGAAAGCACAATTTGCAGATTCAATTCAGCGACCGGCTCAATTTTCCACGATATCAACGAACATCCTGGTCGGCAGAAGTTAAAACGGACGAATGTTATGCAGCAGGTGACAGTTGTAATGAACCAGAGGAAGAAATGATGGTGGAGAATAGTGTAAGTACATAGAATGCATGAAATCGAAATAATATAACATTAAATTGTCTATATAAAATGCATAAGTATAAGTACGAAATTTTCTAATAATCAAAATACAACTAATAAATACTTTTTAGTATACTTGTACAAAAATACACAGAGAATAGGTTTTTTTGTGACTGGTTTAATTATGTTGAAAACACAAATTTTCTTGATTTGTCGGGTGAGCTGCTATTAAAAACACCAATTGTAAATTTCTAAATCTGTTATAGGTCTAGATTAGATATGCCATATCTTCAGCTAATCAAACGAGAGGATAATCGATCTAATCTAATCAACGCTGTATACGCTGGACCAGTTTGGAAATGGACGATTTACAATGAATGTAATTGCATAATAAACGTAATATCGTAATTAAATAAAATTTAAAATCGTTCCATTACTTAGACTACCATAGGTATATGAATATCTTAAGTCATGTTCAAGTGAGACAACACAATGGCAGATTAAATACTACAAGGGATCCCTAGTATTAAGAAATTCAATCTAAGACAGGATATCCCATGTTTAACTGTCGTTTGAAGTTAAAACAAATAATATCATAGACCAAATAATATAAGTAAGTCATAGTGCATTCACCATGCGTCACTAACTCGAGTTTAAAAATTTAAAAATGCGATCAGACAGAATATTTCCATAAAAACCAAAAGCAAGCGTTTAAGTTAAGTTAAAGAAAATATATTTTTAATATGATGGTATAAAAGTTATTAATAGAATTTTGCGTCACAAACTCGAGTTTACCATAAGTTTAGGAGCCTCTGATATAATCCCCTAAACAGAAAAAGTTACGTTTAAAGTGAAATTTTTAATATTAGGTAAAGTAAAAAGTTCGTTCGGTTTTTTATTGATTTCCCAAAAGATGATAACTTTGTGTACATTTGTCCGATTTAAATCAAATATGCGCCGTTTTGTTCGTAAACTTGTTGCCAACGAGATGCCAACTTCATTATACCTCTCTCGTAGAAGACTGCGTCCCTATTGCCAAAAACCTCGGAGAGCCAATTTTCACAGGCCTCTCTTGAGGCCAACTTTTCACCATTAAGCGCGTTAGCCATGAACAGGAAAAGATGGTAATTACTTGGTGCCAGGTCCGGACTATAAGGTGGGTGCATTAGAACCTCCCATCCAAGCTCCAGGAGCTTCTGGCGAGTCACCAAAGACGTGTGTGGCCTGACGTTGTCCTGATGTAACACAATTCGGACTCTGTTGATCAAAGATGGCCTCTTCTGGATGAGTGCTGCCTTCAAGCGGTCCAGTTGTTGGCAGTAGAGGGCCGAATTGAGCGTTTGGCCATAGGAGAGCAGCTCGCAGTAGATGATTCCTTGCCCATCCCACCAAACACACAGCAAAACCTTCCTGGCCGTCAATCAGATCTTGGCCACCATCTGGGCCGCTTCCCCAAGCTTTGACCACGACCGTTTGCGCTCGATTTTGTCATAAGTGACCCATTTTTCATCGCCAATCACAATCCGCTTCAGAAACGGGTCGATTTTGTTGAGATTCTGCAGCGATTTTAAAATATAGCGAATTTTCTCTATGTTGGTGTCCATCTTAGCGCGAATAAACACGTTTTCAGCGCCGTATAGTATGACATGATGCGACACGTAACACTAGTACTATGGACAATAACGCCATCTCTTAGATAAAAACCGAACGAACTTTTTACTTGACCAATATTAGTAAATAATAGAATGTTCAGTCATAAACTCGTATTTAAGTGTAACTTTGACTACAAAAACAAATTTATCTCAATTTAACTATAGGACCTAAGTTCGGAGAAAACATATTAAGTCAGCATATTAACACAGTACATTTTATAACATGGAAGATCGTAGAAACGTGGGGCTATATTGCGAACAACTGATTGTGCGACCGTAAAACTTGTAGCACCACATATACATTTCTCCCCTAATCTTCTAACAACCTATGTTAACAACAATACAAGTAGTCTTCTAATGAGTGAACTCATATGACTCTACAACAAAATTTTAACAAAACATGTGCACATAAACACAACAAACTGTTCCAATTATAATTTTCGAAATGTATTTAATTGTGGACACGAAAGTGATGTGCTTGTAGTTACTTACCGAGAAATCGATAGGCGCCATGCACGGCCAAATAACCTTGGAATAGCGTCAGCAAAACGCCATACCAGATGGACCACAATGAATTCAAATGCAAGTAATTGTTGTGATCCAGATGTGCGCCCGGATGCATCAGCATGTTGTGGTAATTGTTGGCATGTTTACGCTTCGAATTCATGTATTTTTGTGGAAAGCGTTGTTGTTGTTGCTGTTGCGGTGGTATCGGTTGCGGCGGTGGTGGTGGTGGCAGCGGCACAGACTGCTGGTGGTGCTGGTGCTGGTAATGCTGTTGGTGTTGCTGCTGCTGATGATGATGGTTGTGGTTGCTGCTCGCATTCGTTATAACGGAATTCGAGATGCTCGAATTAATGCTGGGCGTAGGGCACGTCTTACCCATCGAACTGTTTGCTGTGGTATGTGTGCGCCAGTGTTTTTACTCAGTATATTAAATTGAGTTTGTAGAAATCGTTTTTGTTGTTCCTGCTGTAAGCCACTACAATGCTCGCAGGCAACAACAAGATTTAAACAAATTGCGAGAACTCTGATGAATCATCGAGCGTAGGTTCGATTAGTACTTTAGTTTTCTATGTGCAGCGAAACGTGTTTGAAGGCACCTAACCTCCAAATAGTTTTCCTGTTAGTACTTATCCTCTCAACATGTATGTAAGTATGCTAGAGCAATGCTGCCCTAGTTTTTTGTTATATTAATTTTTTCTCTTATTTAGTTGTTATTGTATTTATAAGCAACATTCTCTGTGGATTTTCAATTAAACTGCTGTTCTGTCAATTCCCTTGTTTTTATTGTTGTTGCTAACTGCAACTGAATTTGACATTTTTTCATTACTATAGTAGTGATTGTAAATTGCATTGGTATTTTCCTCGAGTTTATTTTTTTTTCTTTGTCTTTTTCTGCTTCTTGCTTATGTGCTACACGCTGTTTTATAACGGTGGTCTGAAAATGAATAAAAGCATTCGAAATTAATTAAGTAAATAAATGAGGAAAACAAAAAGGTCTGCTAAAAATTTTAAAGACAATTAAAATTATGTTCTAGGATAACCATCGACTACAAGTGCTAATTTAAAAAAAGGTCTTTAATCCAGGTTCTTTCTCGATGACATATTGGTCCTTCATAATTACAGACATTATATAAAGAAGTTTTGGAATATTCGACTAAAAGATTTGCGGATCTTCGGTTATATGAGAATATTTCATACGTTACAAAGATCTTAGACGATAATCTCCACTCTTTTCAGTTACAACCCTACAGATGAAAGCATTGGTAACTCAGGGTTCCAAACCTCTAGTCGTAAAAATAAAATTTAATTTTAGTCTTTAGTACAGCTATAGTTCGTTATAAGATTACTAGGTCTTACATCAATAAAATAAAACCGTGGGCTTTATTTAGATGTATTATACATATATTGTTTATCTATATACATACATATATGCATAGTATATACTCGTATGTACGTTTGCATTTATAAACGGTTATTAAAATTAACAGATAAAATATTTCATTATACACGCAATTTCGTTTAATTAATATATATGCAGTAATTGACTGGAATTTAAATTGTATTTTTAACTGTGCGTACGTGTGGATGTCCAGGTGAATTTGCATTATTAACAATAAAAAGCGCGGTGAATTAACACGAATTTTAATATGCGTATGTATAAACTGTGATTGATATTTTTAGTTATTTAGTAAAGCTTAGATAATGACGATAATTAAAATACTTGACGATATTGAATATTTTTATTTCAATAACGAAATTAACAAAATTCCTCTCACAATTGTAGCGCAAATGTTATTTATAATTTGTTGCCAAAGCGAATATTAAATATTTTTAATACATGTATTTGCATCCATTATTTCCTATATATTCATATACTAACGGCAGTATATATATTATATTTTGAATATTTCTTATTAACTTTTTGCCATTTCAAATAATAATATTGATTTTTGTAAAATTGCAATTGTATAAATATTATGTACTCGTATATTAGATTATATTAATTAATATGATTTTCAGTATTGGAAAAGTCAATAACAGCATTAATTCCTATACTTTCTGCAAACAAAAAAAATCAACCTAATAAAGAACTAAGCTCGGGTATAACACTCTTTCAACAATTTCTGAGGCTCAAAGGCGTTGAAATATGTTCAGGCATTCGCAAAGCTTATGGTATATTAAAATATACATATATAGTTGCGTTACAATATAAAATGCATTTTTCGACGAAATTGTGATTGAATTACAGCTTGAACGGGCGGACGGATGGACAGACAGTCACCTTGAATTTAATTGATCTCGTCCTCCTGGTAATTTTGATATACTCGTATGTATTCAAATTTATAACTATCGCGATTAGTTTTAGGTGTTAGAAACAACTGTTAGGTGAACAAAACTTTAATACTATATGGAAATACGTTGTGAGAGTATAAAAACATTGTATGTCAGTGGTGCTCAATAAATGTCTACTATGGAGACACTCAACAACAACGTCTATAAAAAATGCAAGAATATATTTTTTGGAGTGTCAAACAATAGTACTTTCTAGGCGGCGTGTTATTCTACCAAAGCAAAGCTTCTCACTGAGTTCAGCATCTGTTCGGAAATATTTCTAAGCTGCATTTTCCAATAATCGAACAAGGCGAGCCATTATGTCATATGTGGAGATGCCTTTAAGGTAACGCAGTGTTTTTCGACCCAAATCGCGCTATATTGTACAAAACAAGAGTTTATATCGCAAAGAACACTAGTTTCATTTACGATTTCTCTTAACAGTTGTTATAGTTAGGGATTAGTTTGGTTGTCATTCTTTGATGTGCCACGCGTCGTTAGAGCTGTGGCTTGTTGCCACATCTTGGTGTACGGTTATTTCGTGTCTTATTTATGTATGTATGTGAGCTTTGTCGTTTGTTCTTATTTTTGATTAGCGCTACATGGAGACATGTCGAAAACACCTATAGTTGCACCAATGTACCTAGTCTATATGTATATGTACTACATATAAGTTTAAAGTTGTTATTCGTTGTACTTGTTGTTTTTGTCTATAGATTTATTTTTAATTTCTATTGCTCCGAACTTGCCATGAACGGTGATAAGTAATCACTAAGGTAACAAAGCGATAACATGCAATACGTACAATAAGAAGATAAGGAAGATGGTGCATGGTGTCACAACAACAACACTAACATGAAGCAGCTCAAAGGATCGGTTTATAAAATGTGTTTTAGATAAGTTGCAAAGAGCAAACGCAGCATTAACAACAATATTTGCTGTCTTCGATTGGTCATTACACTGCTCGCTTCTGCTCTCTTGTCAGAAAATTTACATGTGAAAGCAACTACAATTATCGAGTTGAATTGAAGCAAGAGAGTATGTGGATACCTCATTAAAGTGGTATAACTGCTATCTTTTTAGCTCACTTTTATTTAGTGAATGGGTCAAATGACATATTTTGTATTTTCAAAACTTAAGGACCGTTTTTTCATTGTCTGAAAGAAGGAGTCTTGGTTGAGTTAACCAGAACTTAACTGACAAATGGTTACTAACCAGACACTGAGAAAACAGCCCTAATTCCAAAAGCATATCAATAGTAATTTTTAGAAAACAATAATAAAGGGTTTCAACAACGTTTTTTAATGTGAAAAAATTAATTATTCATTAAAAAGGTTCAGAACACTATTGCGCATGCGTCAGAAGACATGTTAGCGCAAGGTCGCACCACAAGTGCTGCCCGTTTGTTTAAGCATCTGGTGTAGTTTTATCGATTCGCTGGAGAGTAACGCTTGGCGAATCGAATACAGCTATTCTTAATAAATTTGTTGTTTTATATTTCATATGTACATATTGTATGTATGTGTGTACTGCTACATAATGTAAAAGTAGTGTTATTTTAACAGTTATTTGATACTTTTTGGGAGACCTTGCACACGGCAGTATTCAATTTTCAAAGAGAAAGAGTAAATAATTTGCTTAAAATCTAGGCGCATGAGTATCGTTATACAAACATACTGCACATGTATGCAATACAATGAAATTCCTTTTGTACAATTAAATTTATCATAGTAATAAATTTAATATTCAAACTTCAACAACAAGCTCTTACTCTTAAAAAATTTATAACAAGCAAATAAACTGTTAAAATATAATAACAAAAAAATAATGATCAAGAGTATTCTAGAAATTCGTAATAAAAATGTCGTTACAAATTTTTCATACTCCTGCAGATTACAGAAATGTACAAAATCCAATGGGAAATCAAACCATTTATTCTAGAAAATAAACAGTATAGAAGTAAATGCTCGTACATATCTGCGGTAAATAAATAAGTACCCATTAGGAATTATACCATAGGCGGTGATTGTAGTAATGATGCTGCTACTGGCCCTGGAGTTCTCTAGCTAACTCTATCATTGCATATTGTATACATTTTTATTATTATGTTTTTTGAAATCAACTCAATAGTTGAAAATCCAGAAATGTAAGTATATCGATATCGCGTTGGTTACTTAAAAGTGGAGTATAGAAGTATTTTATGTTAGCTTCTGCAAATTTCGTTAAGAACCCAATAAAAATAGGTATGACTTGTAACCATTTTAATATCTGGTAAATTTGGGTGATAAAACTTTGTTCATATCTTCAATGAAGCTTGGCAAAAATATTGGTTATGCTTCCACTAATTTATTTGGGTTTTAAACAAATTAGGAGATCTAAAGCTTACCATAACTATGCCATCTCACATGTTAACTAGAAAGCTTATACGACGTTAAGTTTAAAAAGTCAGTCTTCAAATACGATTTACTGAAAATAAATCGGACAATAAAGAAATATTTTACTCTATATTGAAAACCCACCGATTATATAGTAATAACAAATAGAGCATTAAACTTTCTTTTCGCTATTTCCTTAATATGGTTTTTCAAACACCAATTGTTGCTTTATTTTCGGAATTATAATAAAATAGTTCGAGTTTTCAAAAACGTTCTTACTGACCAAACGTCAAGCAAATATATAAGCAGCTTAGCACTAAGCAGTTCGACAAATGACCAATTTTCCGCGATAAAATTAAAAAGAAATTGGAGGATTGTGAACGCTGAAGAAAAAATAGGAACAGATAAAACAGCAAAAATATCTAAAAGTTAAGCAAAAAGAAGAAAGAAAAAAGAAGTTAACAAGTTTTCAGGAAGAGATAAAAGTATGTAAAGAACCACAAAAAAAAACAACGCATAAGAGATCACGCAGAGAAAAGCATTGAAAGCATGCCTCAAGGAAAATGTTTAAACATACTAGCAACTGTATTTATGTTCTCGCGGTTGTGAATGCGTGTGTCCAGCTTATTTGAATAACATTTCACAGCCAAGAAGCCAGCTGCTGGCTAATTCTACTATTACATTCAGCTGTGGTTTCTACTTTGCTTTTGCAATTTTTACTCCTACCAGTGGTGGAAGTGGGAGTTGCCATTGAAAATACGGGAGCCGCAGTAGCAATGCTCGTATAACAATTAAGAGCAACATCGTTTTAGTTGCATTGACAATTACAAATTTCACACACATTTCAAATTTCAGGTAATAAATAGCTTTATTACTTATTTTTCGGTGTCGTTTGGTGATTGTAAGCTAAGATATATGTGTGAAAATTGCAAACGAAGAATGTTGCTTAACAACAACAAAAATTAATAATCTGTAAAATTGATATAGACAGTAAAAGAAAAGAATTGCGGGGCAAAAGCTTTATCCATTCACAGCAAAGCAGCCAAGCAATTCATAATACACGAAATTCCCTCGAATTTGTGGCTTTTGTTACTGTCACTTTGGCTGCAAACCGCAACCATAATAATTTGTGAGCGTATAGCCAAAGTAAACGCTTTATTGTCGTTGGCAGCGTGCCAGCGTCAGCGTGTGCGCGTATGCGCTGGCGCACTAGGATGCAACAGATTTA